AGCCATTATTAGTCTCAAAGTGGGTTCCTCGTCATCGAATTAGTGTTAGCTATGTCCGAGTCTCAAGGTATGTCATGGCCATTTAGTGCATGTGCCTCATAAAGTGCCGTTCAGGTTGTTTATTTTAGAGCAAAGCCACATTGGGGTAACTGGTCCATTGCGAGGAATCGAACCCCGGATTTTAGCGTTAAAAGTCCGTAGACTTATCGCTGTCCCGCCAGCAGACATCTGTTTATCTATGTTTGTGTGTGTAATAAACAACTATCCAGAATAAAAACTAAAGCATTTAATATTCATATTCCTCATAATTAGTGTAGCTCTGACTGGTAAAAGAAATAAGAAAAAAGAAATGACACTGTATCAGATGGAATTGTATGATTTGTTTATTTAAGACAATATGGTAGTAAGGTAGTGTAACAAAAGAAAACAACTTAATGAATAACGAAAACTTTTTTATTCTCACCATATTCTCAACACCAAGTTAGTTATGAATCCACTTTTGTTATTGGCCTGGCATGGCCAGGTGGTTAGGGCGCTTGACGTCCCACCAAACATGCTCGCCCATTCAGCCGTGAGGGCATGATAATGTAACGTTCAATCACACTATTCGTTGGTAAAAGAGTAACCCAAGATCTGGCGGTGGGTGGTGATGATTAGTTGCCTTCCCTCTAGTCTTTAACTGCTAAATTAGGGACGGCTAGCGTAGATAGATTTTGTGTATTTTTACGCGAACTTCCAAACTTTTGTTATCATTACGTTTGGTAAAAGTGGTTGTATTCAACCAAGGTTAGTCAGAAAAGGACTTTTTTGTCTTTCAACTTTTATTACGTTAGTTTTAAAATGGATTAGTTCTGTGTGCACAACTCGCAATCAGCTTCTTATGTCTCGGTAGGCTACTGTGGCTGCGGGCCACGACGTGTATTTTCCTGTACATCAACGTTTCCCAGGGGGCGAGTGATTAGGAGAATCAATAGTGGAATAATGTGAACTGAATATTTTAATATATTTATATCAATGAAAATGATAAATAATTACTACAACACATTTGGAATTTTGGTGTGTATTCGTGTGTTACATCTCGTCATTTTAACTCGCTCTTTTACTCCACTTAAAAAAAAAAAAAAGTGAGGCGTGCAAGAAAGCTAATTTATTAAAGGAGGCATGGATGACAAAAGTTTGGGAAACATTCTGTACATTATAAAAGCTACTGGACATCAAAGCCAGGATTTGTACGTAAAAGGGGTAACTTAAAGAACGATAAAATGAAAACAAATCTTTTCTAAGGCTTGAAAAGAAATTAAGTAATAGTTTCAGTTCCCAATACAAAGAGTATTTGAAACCATGTGATTGCGAATTATTGTAAACATGGTCATGCTCACCATTGGGACCAGTGTTATCCAATGTAAGGTTTTTAATTTCTCTAAATTGTGACTCCCAGTATTCATTTTTTCCTAGGTTACAAACTATTTGTCTCCTTCTGTCCCTGAAAAAAAAAAAAAAAAGCAACAACCTAGAAACAAAATTCTAATTTTTAGAACGTCAAATGTGTCTTTAACTTTCTTATGAACGGATATATATGATGACATGAGTAAACACGTGTGACAAGAATAAAACAAAATCTCAAGTAACTGTTGTTGAGGGGAGTCACTGTAATTCGTTATAACAGTTGTCGTTCAACGTAAAAGATTTGTTTCATAAACTCAGATATAGATTGATTTCCTTATGTATATGTCGAATAAAACCATTAAATGGTAAACTAATTTTAAATGATTTCTGGCATAACATCCATAGTAGTCCTTATTTTACATTGTTAACCGACTTTACGCATCTAATATTAACTTGTTAATATTTTAGGCTCTCGATCCTCTTAATGTATTATTAGAATTACGTTGGTTTCGGAACTTCTTGCAAAACTGACAAGGCTACCTTCCCAAAGTGCGAAGCGCGTTTGTACTTAAACGGGACATGAACCACGGACACTCAGACTCACAGTTTGGCAAGCTAAACATTAAGACACATTATTACGATTATGACCTAAACGTTTTATCGGTAACGGCAAAAGTAACCAACTGATTGATACAGTGAATTTCAAGTGAAAAAAAAAAGAAAAACATTGCAAAATATAAAACTTTATTTGACCCTCTATATGAATTAATTGAAAAATTAATTAAGGACATTATTAAAATTATTAGAAGAAATTAGAATCATTGGTTTGATTTAATATTTATAGCGAATTCAAATGCAATTATTAAATTATTTTATATTTCCTGTATTTGTTTCCCTTTTCTTAACAGTGTAAATCATCCCTGTGTTTTGCTGGGCAAAGGACACAGTTACAAACCTACCGTTATTAATTAGTTGCTGGTTAATGATGTAATTGTAAAGTGATAACAAACGAACGTTGTATTATACAATATTAAATGTATATTACATTAGATATTTGATAACTACCTTCTGCCACAAATATTTAATAATCTATTGCATTATTGAAGTTAACAATAGCTGTATTAATCAGTAATTGTTGTTAATTCAGAAAAAAGTTTTAAACTTGAAAAACGGTTTAAATTTTCGCTCTAAAAAGTAAACGTGCATATGCGTTTTTAGTGGCTCCATCTGTTGAGTTGTTTATACATTGTTTGTTAATCGTATATGAATGACGGATAATGGGCTATTAATTTGAAAAATTATCTATGTTTTACATTTAAAAAAATTGTTTGTTAGTTAAATCTTTTTTCTAAGTTGACTAATTATAATGAGTAAGTGAAAATTCAAACTTTCTGATTAATTTTTTAGTTACTTGCTGTATTTCTTAGAAGTTCGTTTTCGTATTAGAAGTCGATATAAGACAAAAGCCTTAAAAGCCTTTTTTTGCGACGTACTGATTTGTAGCATTATTTTTATTCAATTTGCTCCACAGGATTGTTTTCGTTAACTTAAAAGATTAAAAAAAATTAGTTCTTACTCTTATGGATGTCTAACTTTTAATCAGGATTCCTTAATGATTAGGCCCGGCATGACCTGGTGGTTAGGGCGCTCGACTCGCAATCTGAAGGTCGCAGTTTCGAATCCCCGTCACACCAAACATTCTCGCCATTTCAGCCGTGGGGGCGTTATAATGTGACGGTCAATCCCACTATTCGTTGGTACAAGAATAGCCCAGGAGTTGGCAGTGGGTGGTGATGACTAGCTGCCTTCCCTCTAGTCTTTCACTGCTAAATTAGGAATGGCTAGCGCAGATAGCCCTCGTGTAGCTTTGCGCAAAATTCAAAAACAAACAAGCAATTAGAATGATACATTACTTGTACCATTTTTATTACTCTCAATGACAACATTATTGTTCTTGGAGGCCTTACCATTATAACTTGTTATTACTCTCAATGATGACATTATTGTTCTTGGAGACCATACCGTTATAACTTGTTATTACTCTCAATGACGATATTATTGTTCTTGGAGACCATACCATTATAACTTAT